TCTTCATCGATTATTTCAATGTTTTCCAACTTTCCTCCTCATCATCAAGCTTAATCATTTTTCTCGTTTCTAATCATAAAAAATACTAATAAACTTAATTGAAGTTTAAAATAATGAATATGTTGATGATTATAATTTTTATTATATAAATTTTTATTATATAAATTTTTATAAAAATATTTTCTCTAATTTTTGTTTAGTTATGTTAGACATCTTGGTCTTGCTTCTATCTCCATAAAAAAATCATCATTGATTTTTTTTTTTGGTTGTAAATTTAATAGCATAACACCATTATTATCATCCACAAATCTTTCTTTATCAGATGCGATATCATTACAAACTAACAAATATTTTTCATCCTCTGAAGTATTCTTTTTAATGAAAATATTTTTATCTTATTATATATAAATGTTGTAAACTAAGGGTTCATTCTTAAGACATTCAAACAGATTTTTTTAATATGAATTTGATTAGACGTATTCTAACTTTGCTCACAACTAGATGACAAATATGCAAGGCCTAACACTTAAATTGATTTCAGCATTGGTTGGCTTATTCTCCGCTTATTGAAATTGTGGATTAAGATAATATCTCTTAGCATGCAAATAACAATAAAATTGAACCTCTCATTTTTCATGAATTATTTCTCAAAATTTTTTATAGCTTGATTCCTCTTCTTTTAATTTATGGGTTATCAACAATTTAGTATCATCCATCATAATTATAAATGAAGCTAGGTAGTAGACTCTTTTTAAGCATTGTTTATAAAATTTGAACGAAGGGCTTAGTTGTTATAGCTTAACTGATATTTAACCAAATTTTTTCCTTGAAAATAATTTTTATAACTTTTTTTTTTTTCATATTTCTCTACATGAGCACAATTTGACCATTGTATGGAGGTGAACATAGCTTCCTATGTTTCAAGATCCTCTGTATAGTCAAATAATTCGTAGCAAATCTAATTGTAGCAGGTTGGCGTATTGTCAGCTTATTGAAATTGAGGATTAAGATAATATCCCATAACATGCAAATAATAATAAAATTGAACCTCTCATTTTTCATGAATTATTTTTCAAATTTTTTTATAGCTAGATTCCTCTTCTTTCAATTTATGGGTTTTCAACTCCTTAGTTTCATCCATCATATTATAAATGAAGTTCATTAGTAGACTCTTTGTCAGCATCAATCATAAAATTTGAACAAAGGGTTTAGTTGTCATAGCTTAACTCACATTTAACCATTTTTTTCATTGGAAACAATTTTTATAACCTTTTTCTTTCATATTTCTTTACCTGAGCTCAATTTAACCATTGTATGGAGGTGAACATAGCCTCCTATGTATCTTGTTTCAAGATCCTCTGTATGGCCAAATATTTTGTAACATATCTAATTGTAGCAGGTCATAAAAGCTTTTTCTTAGAAAATTTTCTTATCAAAGCCAAAATCCAACTATGGCTATAGATGAACTTGGTAATCGTCGTTGCTTTGCTTAAGGCATTGTCTATGCTGAGACAGTTCTCCTAAGTTTTTAAAAATCAAATGGATTCATTGGGTTGCATATAGTGTCGAAGATATAGCTTTCTCTTCATCACATTATTTCCATCTCCTTATGAGCATTAACATCGTTATTAATGACTTGTAAAATTATATGCTCTGCAATCTTCTCTACGAGTTCATCAAGAATTTAAAAGATTTACTATGAGTTATTTTTCTAGTTTGAAGCTTCTATATATTTTAAATAATTATGCCGTAGGAATTATTAATCTAATTGTGGATCAATTTCCTTTTGAATAGTAACTCTAGCATGTTTTTAAGGGTTTTTTTTTTTAAATTTCTATGATTTTTTCAAGTGCTATTCAGTTCCTCATTCAATATTCCAGTCATCAAATCATACATAGATGAAGGTTTAAGGTTTTGACTACAGAAAACTATAAATAGATCACGTTGACATAAGATTGAATTGAATAGTATTTAATATCACATAAAAAATACCACTTTCACATAATTTTAGAAAGTTAAATACACATTTTCATGCATAGATATATCATACCCATGTTATGTAAATATGAAAGTTTAGGTGTTAGATACATAAATATATGAGAATTGTTTGGTATGTATGTAAATTTCCTCTTTATGTATTTTTTTTAAGTTTCTGCCGAGGGGTTTCTCATACGTGGTAAAAAATCTGTATTTTTATTTTGGGAGACGACTATTTGTGGAGGCAACTGGATTTTAGAGTGCCACAAATTTTTTATAAATAAATTTTCTAATATCTATACTATTTTAAAACTCGTAAAAGAATATTTTAATTAAAAAATGGTAAAATGACAATTTTACTACATAAGAAATTTTAAATAAACAAAAGTAAAGTTTTAGGTTTAGGACAGAAAAAATTGTCTATTGTTATCGATATAAAGAGATGCGGAATAAGATAAGATGGTTTCTTCTGAAGGATGAAGGCTTTGCAGGACAGCTGTGGTGACGACACTATAGGAGGTAGATAGCTGGCAGAGGAGGCGTGCACTAGAGCAAGAGTTAGGGTTAGTGTGCAAGAGATTGTTAGTGGTGGGTGAGGATAAGGAAAATTTGAATTTTTATGCCCCCATAATTGCTATCATACTTTTCTTATAATCAACTTACCAAACATGTCATATGCACTATTTTGCGTCATAGCTGTTAATGCACTCGGCGTTGCATCAACTTTGGTTGTAATTCGTAATTAAAACACAATTTAATAAATTTCAAATGATCGAAAAAAACGAAATGAATGATAATTGATCCATCTTTGAATATGATTTGCATAATTTGAGAATCACAATTTAGTGTTCATTCTTTAGTCAAATTATCTTTGATAAACTATTGAGTGATGATAATATCATCTTCGTACTATGATCAAACCATCTTTGAGCCTTCGTCAAACCATTCATTTTTTATCTATGATCCATTTACTATTGATTAATGATCAAGTCATGTTTTAACTTATTCTATATTCTTTGACTTTAACAGCCGTTTGCGGTCATCCTCTTTGGGGGGTATTTATTTTGAAGGGAGTTCTCAGGCATGTTTACCAAAGAAAATAAACAATAAGCATTTTTAATTTTTGCTAGTATGAGACATATAATATCAAATTTTCCAATAATAAAGTGGCATTTTTGTTGATATATTTTATTTGTTTGTTATTAAAACCTATATTCAAAATATGAGGCATGTGCCGTTCAATTTTAAGGCGAGGGGTGCCTCATTTACTTTGAGACATATGCCTCACATGAGAGGCCATGATGCACATGCCTGATAGCAAAAATTCTTGAAAGTGTTGTGGTGCGCCTCATATTACACAATTTTAAAACATGGCTTTCATGAAGATTACATAAGTAATTACACAAGTAGGTCGTTCACCGCTAGATGAATAATCAAATAATTCTTAAAGTGATTTTTCAATTGTATGTTACATTTGTTTCTACACGGGAAACCTTTTACAGTTAGGGTGATTAAACAGTAAAGTGCTCCAAGCTTTGATTCCCTCCTTTTTTTTCTAATTATGTGTGTGTGTGTGTGAGAGAGAGAGAGAGAGAGAGAGAGAGAGAGAGAGAGAGAGAGAGAGAGAGAGAGAGAGAGAGAGAGAGAGAGAGAGAGAGAGAGAGAGAGAGAGAGATGGGGCAGTCAGGCAGCTCTACATGATCTACCATGCTAACACTCTCCAACTCATTAGCAGATTGTATTGAGAAACAAACACAGAGAACCGCATTAGTGGCTTTATGTTAGAATTTGAGCAAGGGGAGCATCCATCCCCTAAAACCGCCCAACCAATGGAGACGTTAAGATAGAGTGAAATTGTGTACAATGTGGAGATAGTGAAATAAGAGAGTAGGTTAGCTTGAAGGGCCCTCATTTCATTTTTGTTTTTTTTTATTTTTTAGGTACGGATCTTGTTAGTTGACTTAGAGGGATACAGTTGTCATTTCACATTAGTTATTAACATTTCGCGAGTATGCCTAGAAGACAGTTGACCTTATCAACTTCGTACGTGGTAATTAAGAATCCTTAGCTTTTTGGAAATAAATAAGAATTTTAAAGCTATATTACTGGCTTGCTGTGAAGCTGAGGCAAAAGTGTGATTGTGATAGACCACAAATAGGAAGCAAGCGTGCAGTGCTGGAATTGTAGCATCAAGCACCTGACTTACCATTATTTTGTATTTAGGATAATTACTAGACTATAATTACAACTAAAAGAGATTTGTTGCCGGTATTTTAGTAGCAAACATAGTAATGTACGATTGTAATGAACTGAGAACGGGCACTAACACTTTTTGCGTTCAAGTTGACTATGGAAGTACAAGAAATGTTGGCGACATGTATTTTAAAAAAAGATGAAGTGGAATAATGGAATAGTTGTACCCACTTCATCTTTTAGACCAAAAGATGTCTCGAGCCTAATTGGATGAAGATGTCAGTTCCATTATTGTATATATTTCAGATCTGGCTAGCTAGGGCTAGCCGCATAGGAAAAAAATATAATCAGTGAACATTGTCCCAAACATAGAGATAGGATCTTTTTAGATGCTTTGATGCTCTAGAAGTTTTTGATTGCCAATCATGAACGTTCTGGATTTACAACCTTTCTCACCTATTTTGTCCGGTATGCCGTGTCCTGCTTGATTTTTATTTTTTCACAATTTTTTTTTCAGAGAAGTATTAGAATAGTTCCCTATTTTTTAAAAATGCTATACCATTCTCCACTTAATTTCAATAACTAATATTTCTGCAAAGTAGATAAAATCTAAACCAAAGAGGAGCTCAATTGAAAATTTGAACTTAAATTCTGTCCTCTGCAAACTTGTTTTTCTATTCATATGCCATTTTTATGCAATCTCCAATTTTCTACTTGAGGCTGCTGGCTGCAGATATTAGAGAACAAGCGTATTGAGGCTAAAATTAGTGTATTATGGTTTCAATATCTATGCATTTGCACCAATGCGGTTCCATATTTCTCTATGGCAGCTTGGAAACCATGGTTCTAATCTTACTGAGGAAGAGCTTGAGACACATACAATTTCAGCATGGAAATTGGTAAAGAGACAACGTTATGGTCAACTTGATGTGCATGGAAGGCCAATTGAAAGAGCTTTAGTTCATGTGAGTTTTTGTGGCACTACCTTAGTTGTTGTTTCACAGTTATTAGTTTCAGTTATTTGAATTCTGATGTGGCCCTATTTCATTCCAATTTGTACACCACTTAAAGATTGCTGTTTGATCGTTCTATTCTCTTTTTATTTGACATATGAAATGCATAATGCAGACAAGAAATAAAAAAAAAAAAAAAAAAAGGAACGAGACAACACCCAGGGGAAATTTTGTTTATATTAAGGGGCATTTACATACGTAGCACACAATTTTTTATGTATTCACATATTACACGCCTATACTGTAATGTTTACACACATAGTCATCTAATCTTTAATATCCGATTAAAAATATCACTATTGCTACTTTTTAAAAGTGAAATAAATCTTTTCATGCATAGGTTTATTGCACCAAATTATGTTTGAGATCCATAAGAATTGTGTGCTATGTGTATTTAAATTTCCCTTATATTAAGTACAAAGTATGTACACTATGTAATTCTTTTCTCTCTTCTAAAAATGGATTTACATGATCTGTAAAGCATGAACGGTCTTGACACATTATGGATGGAAAGTTAATGACATGGACTGTGTGAGTTGCTTAGTGCAATCCTTCACTGCATATACACTTCGAATCAGAGCACACAAACTCATCAAAAGATTCAACACATCAATTAACATATCACATTGAGCCAAGCTGCTAATGCATTTTGATTCATCATATGTTATAATAAGAAATTATACAATTAAGAATATATACCCTAATTTGTTGATATGAGGAGATATGGTACTTTCAAAAAGATATTGTCTAATCAAAAAATCATAAAGCATAACAAATCACCATGGGATATACAAAGACGGGGTTGAACAAACTACACCAGCTGATGACAAAGTCAATCACATTCACAAGGAGGGTGAAGTGAAGAAGGGTTATCATGAACCACACATTGGTCGGTAATGAAATCACAGGGAAGTAGAAGTTCATTGTTAAGGAAGAAGATTAGTAACTAGCACAATGTAAAGAGAGCGGCATCAAAACATTGCAATGAAACCTATAGATAAGTGTTAGTGAGGTTAATGGTGCACTTTGTTTAAGGCAAGCTTACAACAACTAAGGGGAAATGCCATGCTTAAGAAAAGGAGAAGGAGAAAGTAATACAATGCTTGGCGCTATAGTGATAATCATTGCCAACCAAAGAGATCCGTAAAGTTAACCTTTGTAAAATTGCACTTAGGCCAACAATGGATTATAGATCCAAGTGTTGAGCGGTGAAGAAGTTATTGATTTCCAAGTTTATCTTGTAAGAAATGAGAATGCTAAGATTTAAGTTTTGGGGAAGTCATTAAGTATGGATTGAGAAATTTAATATTTCATAATGATGGTAGGTGTAGCATTTATTATTAAATAAAATAGTAGAAATTAAACTTGATTTGTGCATTTACTATGAAGTTCACACGATGCACCAACAAGATGGGTAAATAAAATTAATGTCGTAAGACCACAATTCGTAAAGTTGACACCAAATAGTTAGGTTAACTACAATGATGTTATTGATCGCAATGGTGACTTCTGTAATATTTTTATTCAATGAAATTTGAATGTGAAATTGTTGTTTCAATCTTCTATATATTATATTGGCAACATATTTAAATTTGGTGCATGCAAGTAGGACATATATGTGTTGATTCCAGCCTTTGAACCTGGAAGATTGTTTGAGAACATCTGTAATTTAAGCCACCTCACCTTAGTTCAAGGTAGTTACATATTTATCTGCTGACCTCATTTTTGTGGTAGATCATCTTAAGATGACTCATGGGTCTTGTGGGATAGTCCCACATCGAATGTGGTAATTGTTGAAATTGGTAGCCTTAAATCGAGACTAAATTTTGTTATTTGCTAAAATTATTTGCTTGATCGTTCGTGACAACCGATTCGGTCAATTGTAGTCGTCTTGATCCGTCATTGTGCATGGCTTTTGGTTTATTTTGAGACACATCATTTTTGGGGGAACATGTATGAGGGTGATGGTGATTCATCAGTATTTTTACTTGGTTGCATGAGCATGAAACTCTTTTTTGCATGAATGTTCGTCCGAATAAAAATTTCTCTGAAGCATTGTTTCGCTAAACAGATTGCACAAGTGCATTTGGATCGTCAAGACGATTCAAATGAGCCTTTCACGTCCAAATCAAACACCTTTTGGAGTGCGTTAGCATTAATATAATATATATTATTTTTGAATATTATATACATATTTTTAATCTAATTTTATATATCTCGATACTAAGATTAATATATATTTTTATATTTATTTATTTATATATAAAAAGTATATATGATATTTAAATTTAATATTATTTTTTTACCTCATTTAAATCTCATGTTAATTGAAGCTTAATTGAACACTAATTGACAAATATAAAATTTGTTTGAATTTCTTTTACAATAGGCAGGCAAAATAATAATGAAAAAGAATTTTTGTATCAAAATGGGCCTCATCTAATTAACTCTCACATGAAGAGAGATGAAAAAAAGTAAAAGGACTTTACTAAACAAGCACTTCTCTCTCTTCTATCCATCTTCATTTTCTTTCCCAAAACACCTCTCTCTCTCTCTCTCTTCTTATCCGTTGCAAAGGCGAAAATCTTTCCCGCTTCATCAATCTTTTGCAGAAAAGCCTCCCTCTCCTCGCTTTCACTATCTCTGGTTCTTGCATATCTCTTTTTCTTCGTCTCTCTCTTTCTCGGATTTCCCAACAAATCGAAAAGCACTCCATTTCACCCCACCAGGCTGAAACTTGTTGTCGATAACTCAAGCTCTGTCCCCACTAATTCTCACCTCCACTCGATCTCCTTCTTTCTCTTTCGACCACCAAATCAACCCCAACAACAAACAGACAACTCTGCCTCCGAACCGCGCCTTGCCTCTCTGTTCAGGCATTTGGACTTGCCACCAACTCTTGCTAGAAATCACCTTTCTCAAGGTTGAAACTTCAAAAATGGAATCAGTACTGACGTCTTCCTCCTGATCTTCGCAAGTTAACTTGCTATAATTGGATCTCGATTGTCTCTCCCCTAATTGAACCTATCATCCTCGTCTCATGCAGGTAATCTACTTTCACTGATTCCATTTAAACGTGGTTGTCCATCATATCCTTGTTATCCTGATCACAACTAAAGCTTCTTTTTCTAACTTCACACATATAATAAGCGAACCTATGGATATATAACTTATGGATTTATTTTGTCATTTCTCTGGTTTGACGCATGTTATTTATACATTGAAATAATTCATTCCTTAACGTTTGATTTTGAAACCCGGTTTGTTAGTGAATTTATTTTATTTTTAAGATGTTTTCTCTCAGATTGTATTCATACATAATCTCTTTCTGTAGGATTGAATGTTTGTTCATCTTAAATTCTATGCAATGTCATATTTTGCTAATTGATTTGCTAAAATCTGATTATTATGTAGAACTGAATGTATACTGAGGGAAACTCTCTCTCTTCATGACGCTATATTGAGGAAAGTCTACTCCTTCCTATCTTTCTCACCCCATACCAAGGGAAATCTCTGCTTGGTTCTTTTCTCATATGATACTGAGGAGAGTTTGCACCCCTCTTTTTCCTCACACTATATTGAGAAGAATATTCATATCTTCTGTATCTGGTTACCTTATTTTGATAAGATACTTTGAGAAACTTGATCATTTTGGTTGTTATAAGTCTCAATCTCATACATTATATCTTTCCTAACGCGAGTTTTAGAGCCTTAGGTAGCTTGTTTCAGCCTTAGCATGTGCCATCACATGCAGTGCTATAATTCTAGTTTAGGTTTCTCCATTATATGAGAGTGAAGTGTAAGTCATGTATGTCAGCTTAAGATTAGATTCACACCCTTAATTTATGAGATCCCCTTGTATGGGTTAACCCTTGGTTTCTAGTAAGAATCACCTAGCCACCTCATTGACTAAATAGATTAAGGGTATAAACAACCAAAAATGATGAAACCATGAGATCTTGATCGGGGATGTCATATTTACTTGGTACGTTAGTCTTCCCCTTTGATTTCATTGTGTTTGCTTGTACTTTCTCTTGTATGTTTGACTGTATAATATCCAATATGTTGAGTAGTCTCTCGAGCTTCTCTTATTGAAATAAGAAGCTTAAAAAATCCATTATGTGCCAAACCGTAAAGAAAAATGAACAAACACCCTTATTCGAGTTTTTTCTTGTGCTCCCCGTCAAAATGTAATTAATCATTAATTTGGAAAACCTTATTACCTAGAATAAAATATGTCCAATTTGATACTATGCAATGATATATATGACTCGAATGAACTAGAAATTCTCCTATGCAATACATAATTTCAAATAAGTTTTATTTTATTCTGATTAATCGGGCTTCACATAAGTGCAAGCCCCAATGGTTTATTACATCTTGGACAGGAAGCTTAAGAAAACTCTTGATTAATGGTGTCGTTTCATTTTTTATTTAAAGTTCGACACATACTGAGTTTTCTAAATTTCCTATTTCAACGGGAGAAAGGCTTAAGAGGCTACTCAATATGTAGCATATGATAGACTCAAACATAAGAGGGAAAGTACAAACAAACATAATCGAATCAAAGAAGACTGACCTATCAAGTAGGTATGACATCCCAATCAAGATCTCATGGTCTCATCATTCCGGGTAGTTGGCGCCCTTAATATGCTTAGTCAATGAGGTGACTAGAGAATCTTTGTTAGCAACCGGGGGTTATCTCATCCAAGGAGAACTCACAAACTAAGGGTGTAAACCTAATCTTATGATGACAGGTAGGATTTACACTCCACTCTGATATAATAGAGAAGCTTAGACTAGAATTATAACACTGCATGTGATGACGTATGCTAAGATTAACTTAGGCTACCTAGGGCTCTAAAGCTTTGGATAGGAAATAATATGTGAGATTGAGACTTATAGCTTATCCAAAATGATCAAGTCTCCCAAGGTATCTCCTCTACATAATGTGACGATATACAAAAGACATGGTGATTCTCCTCATCATAGTGTGAGGAGAAATGAAGGACGTGGATTTTCCTCCGTATCATGTGAGAAGAGATCCATGTGGAGATTTCTCTTAGTATGGGGTGAGGGAGATTGAAAGGTGTAGAATTTCCTCAATATAGGGTGAGAAGAGTCTAAAAGAGAGTTTCCCTCAATATAGGGTGAGGGATAACTCAAAAGGTGATTTCCCTCGGTATAGGGTGAGGGGGATCGAAAATGATATGACACTCCTCTGTTTAGGTTGTGGAAGAGGTTAAAAGAGAGTTTCTTTCAATATAGGGTGAGAGAAAACTCAAAAAGGTGTGGATTTTCTCAGTGTAGGGTGAGAAAATGTCCAACAAATTGTTTTCCTTAGTATAGGGTGAGAAAGAACCAAAGTGTGACTTCCCTCAATATAGGGTGAGGGGGAGAGATTATGGCAACTGTCCTCAATATAGGGTTAGAAAGAGTCAAAAGAGAGTTTCTCTTAGTATAGGATGAGAGAAAAATCATAAGGTTTGGAGCTTCCTCAGTATAGCGTGAGAAGGAATCCAACAAAGGGAAAGTAAATAGCAAGTCTCCTTGATATGGTGAGGAGCTAGAGAGATAAAAGGCATGAAACTTATAACATGAGCTCTTAAGTTCGGGAAAGCTCGGACATCTTCCGTATATCATAGAGAAAATGTTAAAAGCAGGATTCAACTTGGTCTCGTGTGACCAGTAAGGTTCATTCTATCTTTTCTATATGTTAGAGAAGTTAGAGGCCTAGACTTCTATCATACCTTAATCAGGAATGCTTGCTAAACACTCACGCGAATGAGAGTCGGTCAGATACAGAGAAGGGATAAAAAGAGACCATAAATTTTCTAAATGGAGTTGGCTAAGTGTATGTCTGAGTGCATCTATATAGTCTATCCTAAAAAAAATCCTAGACTACTTGCAAACTCACAAGGCTATGATATGATAGGTCTTAGCAGGGGCTTTGAACCTAACTAGTCTAGTGAGATGAGCACATGCCCAATCACCATGACACTTGACTCCTAGACTAGATTTTGTTTTCTTAATGTGTTATCCTATGAGTGTGTGACATTTGTGCGCCTCGGACTAATCATTGATCCCATGTGGCGTCGATCATGGTTGTGGGGTCGTGATTGACATTAAGCAATGAATGTGCAACAATCTGTGGTTTTATTGCTATATTCTGCTACCCTAGGGTTTAGTAACGGTCAATCATGGCGTAGGAAAATGTGATCCCCAAAAAATGTTTCTATACCAACTACTCTACTGCAAAAATAAGCATTAGCAATAATATAATATGATTGTAATAACTTTAAGCTTATATCACATCATAGTTAATGCCACAATCAAGATAGTAGGATGCATACAGACAAACTTTGGCTATATTTATTTAAATGCATGAGATGAATGTAAATATCTATCACAATTATGGTCATAAAGCTAATCATACATTGAATTCTAGATAATAATTAGATTTTAGAAAATCATTTAAAAAATGCCCCATTTCATGGGGATTTCAACATGAACAAATATGTTCAAACTAGATTTCAAAATCAAACTCTAAGGAATGAATAATTTCACTGTATGGATACCATTTGTTAAATATAGCCAATACTAACACACACACACACACACACACACACAACACACTCACACACACACACACACACACATTGGTTGGGAAATTCTATATGGTCATCCCAAAATGGAGCTCATTCACAAAGAATTTAAACTTATGCATCTTGTTGGAGAATGAAAAATCGGGCTATTAGATGGGAGACATATTCTTATTCAAATTAATAATGAAGGAGATTATATGCGTTTATTTGCTGGAAGAATAATATTGATTGATAACAGAGCAATAAAGATTTTGAAATGGTCTGTGGATTTTGACCCACAGACGGAACCGCCAATCATTCCAGTTCGGATTCGTCTCCCTGGTCTGAAATTTCATTATTTTTCTTAAAAAGTATTGTACTCTATTGCCTCAGCTTATGAGAAGCCACTAAAGACGGACATTCCTACTTTTAATATGTCCCGTCCTTCTGAAGTCAGAGTACTTGTTGAAAGAAACATCACTATACTCGCTTCTGAGGAAATCTGGTTGGGCACACAACTTCATGGATATTTGTAGAAGGTAGAGATTGAACATTTTCCGTCGTATTGTTCGAACTGTCGTATGTTCGGACACTCCAGTTCTCAATGTCACCATCTACACCCCCACCTTAGACAAAAAAAACAAACTGCTCCTCTAGAGGCTGTGATTCCATCTTCTGATCAGGCAGACAATATGACAACTATTCAATATGACAACCAGACAATATGACAACTATTCAATCCCCAGTTGTAGCTCCCTCATCTTTGGAACCTCCTATCGTGGGGGAGAGGGAGTTTCTTCAGATCCTGCTTGCCTTAGAATCTACTACTGATAATACAGATGGAAATACTTCTACTGCTTCACGACCGCCTCATCAGGTCTAGAAAGATGTTAATATTACTCAGGTTCATCGGGATCAAGACGTGTAACAACCTACACCTATCCGACCATCTTTGGAGTCTGATCTATTGATCAGATGAGTCAATCATCGAAGAGGAATGACAGGTCTACACATCTAGGAGGAAGAATAAGAATGAAGATCTACTTAAGCTCAGGAATCTGATAGATGATACTTTGGTTACTACGGGCAATGAGACACACCTTACCAATTTGTTAGGCGACTCACTTCCGAGAACTAGAGGCAGGAGAACTAAAGTGGGACGTCCCTAACACTTTTGTGCTCTTTTGTGACTTTCTGATTTTTTATCTTTTATGTATCTTTATTTTATTTGGGTTTTGTGTGTGTTGTAGTATATAAGTTAGACTTTCTTTTAGGCCTTCTCCTACAATCTTTCTGTATCTTTTCCGTATTAAGATATTTGCCCTTGGGCTTTTTCTATATATATATATATATATATATATATATATAAAGAAATGGTCGGAGGCTATTAGCGAGCCCCTGTCATCCCTATGTGTGCTAAATATTCGAGTACCACACCTTACACATGAGGAGATTCAAACTCATGACCAAAGGAGACTTACGACCTTCAGAGAGGCTGCTCTACCATAGGCCACGGTACACGCGTGCACACACATACATACAGAAAGGTTTAAGGAAATAAAGAAAACAAGTAACAACAAACAAGGCTAGGTAAAAATTTTGTTGTGATTAGCAATGGTAGCATTCAGGAAGTATACTTGCAAGTTATTGTGACCAAAACAAACTTAATCTGTTAGCTACAAGTAGCCTCCAAGCAATGACTTAATTTATTTTGAGAAGATCTATTTTGGTTTAGCAGCTTATTATATGTATGAAGTTGGAAAAGAATTTTTGGGATGTGACGAGGATATAGCAAGGTATGATGAACAATCATGTTTAAAAGAAATCAATGAAAGTAGAGTACCTGGATGAGATGTGGATGTAGGTTCAGTCAAGGGAGAGACAACCAGAATTCAATTACAACAAGGGTAACTCGAGAAGATTTGGAGGTAGAGGTCAGTGACCAATTCCATTTTTGAAGTTTCAACTTCGAGAAAGGTGGTTGCTGGTGGGAGTTGGTGGTGAGTCCAAAGGCTTGAACAGAGAGGTGAGGCACGGTTCAGAGGCAGCGTTGTCAGTTGGTTGATGTAGATTAGCTGGAGGTGTGAATCAGTGGAAACAAGGCTTGGGTTGTCGATGACAACTTTCGGCTTGGTGGGGTGAAACAGAGGAGAAGGTTTCGATTTGCTGGGAAATTTGAGAAAGAGAGATAGGGAGGGAGGGTCCGTGAGAGCGAGAAATGGCGAGACCGAGAAATGGAGAGGGAGGCTTTTTCGTAAGAAATTGATAGAGAGAGAAAGATCTTTGGTTTTGCAACAGATAGGAAGAGAAAGGGAGGTGTTTTGGGAAAGAAAGTTAATATGGATAGAGGAGAGAGACATGCTTGTTTTGGAAAGTTTTCTTTTTTTTCCCGCCTCTTTACGGGAGAGCTAATTAGGTGAGGCCCACTATAATACAAAAATTCATTTCTATTACTATTTTGCCTACAAACTTCAAAAGAAATTGGAACAAATTTTATATTTGTCGATTAGTGTTCAATTAAGCTTAAACTAACACGAGATTTAAATGAGGGAAAAATTAATATTTAATTTAAATTTCATATATATATATGTATGTTTGACTGTAT